TGTGTGTGTGTGTGTGTGTGTGTGTGTGTGTGTGTGTGTGTGTGTGTGTGTTTGGGGGAAGGGAAGGGGCGTGGGGAGATCATACCAAAGACGAGAATCACTGTGTTGGAACAAGACAATAAAAAGGTGTTCTGTCGGTGTTTTCCTTGAACAGAGTTTGCGGACAGAACACTTTTTTTTCCAAAGCCGTTGGGGGAAAAGACGTTCTGTCAGCGAACTCGTAAAAAACGGCTTCTTGTCAGCATAACCATTTCAAAAAGGCGTCCTTCCGAATTTTGAAAGTTAATTTATTCAAAAAGTAGTCACAGTTTAACTTTGATTTTTTCACACAAGTAGGGTAACAGGTCAGACTATCGAAGGAGCAAATAAAAATGTTAGCGCCAAAATGAAAAAAAAAGGCGTTTTAGTTTATTATTCTCGCTTCTTTGACTGATGAGCGCTGAGCCAGGCCCAGCCATCCAACCCAAACAAAAATGGCGGACGACCGATTCAGTTTGATCCATCAGCCTTCGCTCGCTCTGCACAAAGGGAGACAGGGCTGGCTCGCGGTCGCGCGGTAACTTGGGAATAGAGAGTAGTGGTTTATATCTGTGCATGTAACTGTTACAGATAGATATTCAAGGAATATAGAGGTAAATCAAAGATCTGAAAGCAATGATGATTTCAGATATTATGGTGGTGATGTGTGATTATGTGGCATTGCATTTCTGTAATGTTAGCATTAGTCCTATCTTCTTCTGTTGTTTGCATTGCCAACACTATGACCGTTTTTACCACCGGGTCATTTATTACACCCCAACGGAGATAGGTGTCGCTTCCGGTAATGAAAGACAAAATTTTTTAAAATAAAAAACAAACAAACGAAAAACTGCTGCATAGTTTGAAGAACTGTACCTAGATTTACACCGTGTATTTTTTTGTTCTTTTTCACATTTAGAATTTGAATTTCAAAATAATATTATTTTTTGAGCATGTGCAACCGATACCACAAATTGAGAAACTGCTTAGTACATCTAAACAACTGGCTGACAACTTTTTTTTCGTCTTTCATTACAGGAAGTGACATCTATCTCCGGTGGGGTTTATGAAATGACAGGTGGTCAAGACGGTAATATTGTTAGCAATGCAAACAGCATCGTCCTCAAACTGACCATTGATCCTGCACAGGCCGGGGACGCTGCTATGTACAAGTGTACTTTTTATTACTATGACACTGACTATAATGAGGAGGTCGTAGCGTTTACGGACAATGCTACTGCGGTTGGTAAGTTCGACACGTTTAAAATAAATGGCGCTGCCTGTTACTCTTGTGTTTTTTTGTTGTAGTAAGAGTTTTATTCCGCACTTGCAACACGAAAAGGTAATATAAGTGCTGAAGATTGATGTTGTACAAGAGAGTAAACAACACAACAAAGAAGGAGGAGATATAAAGACGATAGTTGTTTGATAGGAGAGAAGGAGTAAACCACACCACAGCACCTGTCAACCACTCGCCTTTTGTTTTGGAATTTTGTGTGTGTTTAGTTTGGGCAGTTACGAAAGAATGGTAAAGGTCAATGATATTTCTATAATATCTCTAACCCGCTGTCACTTCTATGAAGGTCCAGAAATATCACTTTGTAATATTTTACTAGTTGCTCTTAAAAAAAAAATTGAGACATGAACTCATCGTCGACTACTAGTTTTATAAAAACATCTTCATTAGATTTTTATTTCGTTCTGTTCAGTTAGAGGGTGCGGTGGCGGAGTGGTTAGTGCGCTCGTCTCTAAAGCGGGAAGTCCGGGTTCGAGCCTCGGTTCGGACACGGTTGTTTTTTGCCCCCTCCTGCCAACCCAGCAAATGAGTACCTGACTTCGAGATGCGAAAGTAAAGGCGGCGTACAAAGGAACTTGCCACCTTACCACAATATGCCGAAGGTCCAGGAAGTTGTCTCACTAACAAGGCAATCCCCAATGTCCGGATCGGATTTACGAGTTCAGCTATTTAGAGATTTGGTTCTCTTGTCTGATCGAATATAACCCTAACACCAGTAAAAATTGGAGCTTCTCCTTCATATCATTTGTGACAATCCTCTTCATGTTTAAGGAAAATGAATTCTTTAATCCAGGACAAAGTTTTTTGCACAATCTACCAGTTTTGCAAAGTTATAAATATCTCGCTTTTCGCTTTGTTTTGTTGAAGCTTCCACGATTATCTCTCTTTCCCCTTTATTTTGTCGTAGCATCTACGGATATCTCGATGTTTCGCTTTCTTTTGTTGAAGCATCTACAAATATCTCAATGTTTGACTTTCTTTTAATGCGTCACCTACGAATTTCTCGCTTTTCGCATTCTTTCTCTAGCGGGCGGTTGGAAGGTGCCACTGGTATAGTTCCTACTTCTTCACTTGCCCTTTGTTGTTTCTGTCTGTTTGTCTCAGTCTTCTCCAGCATGGAATGACCATACATGTGTCGATGTGTTTCTCTTTTCTCAAGCGTTGTTCCGTTGCAGTATCTACGAATGTCGCTTGCGCACCTTGCCCCCCCCCCCTTTCCGGGCAGTGCTACTGGCTGAAGTTGTCTTCAGGCCATTCCCAAAGGGAGGGATATTAACATGTTCTTATGGACAGTAGAATTGTTAATGGGCTGATTTATCAATGTCAAGCTCATACTGTGCCGAAACAACGTAAGGGAAACTGCTGCTTTTCCTTTCCTCATCCCTACTTTCGTCATTTTCCCTCTACTTCTTTTGCATGTCTGTCACTCTCTTGTGAACTGCTATTTCCAAGGTGCCTTGATAGTCGAAACAGACTGTGTGCTGTTGAGGCGAGAGAGGTGAGAAGAGTAAGCCTTATTCCCGGTTTGGTCTCTTTGACATTCACCCCTTGGTGCTCATATGATCTTATGCGATTGCGAGTGCCATAAAACCTACTAAACTAAAACTTCTTTTTAAAAAATAAATTATGTGCAGCATCTACGAATACGACGAGCCTGGACTGCGACTTCCAGACAGACATCTGCAACTGGACACAGGCCAAGGACGACCAGGCAGACTGGCGTAGACGCCAAGGTGAGACCAACTCTTACGGCACCGGGCCGTTTTACGACCACACCTACCGCAACTTCACAGGCGTCTACATCTACTTCGAAGGCGGCGACGTGAGAAGGGCCAACGACACAGCATCACTGCAGAGCCCTCTACTCCCGGCTCAGACAGGGGCTATATTCAGCTTTTTCTACCACATGAGAGGATACCAGATGGGCACTCTTAGGATCAGGCTTGTGACCTATGACCTTTTCGGAAGTGAAACAAGTGAAAAGATCTTATTTCAGAAATATGGCAAAGAGCAGACGATGTGGACCGAGGCTAGGATCGACGTGAACGAGACGGAGAGCTTCCGGCTGTTCGTTGAGGCTCTTTTGTTGCACGACTTTGACGACTACACGGATATGGCGGTGGACGATTTTCGGTTCTTCCGAACGTGCAAAAGTAACCCGTGCGGGACAGACCAGACGTGTACTGACCGTCAGTTCGGCTTCGCGTGCACTTCCAACTGCACCACCGCACAGTGCCTGAACGGGGGGATGTGCCAAGCTGATGGAGAAAGTTACACATGTCGGTGCGCACCGGGCTACACAGGCCCTAACTGCGAGACAGACATAGACGACTGTCAACTGTTGCCGTGTCAGAACAAAGCCGTGTGCGTCGATCTCGTCAACTCTTACTTCTGCGCATGCGCCGACGGCTTCGCCGGAACTAACTGTGAGATACAGCTGGAGACTCCGGAATGTCACGGTTTGGTTGTTGACCTCCACGCCACGCCCCAGACTCTGACCCCGCCAATCACAGCTGAGCTGAATATCACTTGCTCTTTGAGAAAGGCGACGTCGGACGAGAAACGCGTTTGCGGTGACGTCATTAGTTCCGATTTTGGGGGCGTAGCGTCTGTTACTCTTACCCGGAAAGGTTCCGGAGATGTGATCGAAGAAACTGTGTCCGTCATGTCGTTGTTTGGAAACGCCACCGCCAAAGCTGACCACGGTATGCTGGAGGTACAGGGTCGGCTCACACAGATGATGACGTCACCGAGCCCCGCAATAGCGTCGCTGGACAACAGGTGGTTTTACCCCACAGAAGACCAGGCGGGGAACTACTCCTGTACTATCGTCGCTATCGGCAGCATGGGCCGACCTCTGACCTTTCAAGCCAGGAAGAAGATCGAAGCATCGATTCCCGCGAAACAGGAAGTTCGCAAATATGTCATCAACCTGCACAACAACAGCTGCCCAAAGTGAATCTTGACCTCAGGATTATCCGGTACTAATTTTGTCACTTATATTTCTTTTACCCGTATTTCTTTTATCATTTTTTTAAAATTATTATATTTTCCCAGTTTTTTATCACTATTTCTTTAACCACTATTTTTTTTTCTATCGTTATATTTTAATTATCATTTTGTAGCAGCAAAATTCATTCGTCCTTACAAAATTAATAACATTCAAAACACAGCCGCCGTTACCTTCAATGTCTAGCAGTTTCCTTCGATTGGGTTAAATTTGCTGCTTTTTAAAGAATAAAAATGTATCACGAAAGTGAAAATAATAATATGCCACAGACTATTTCATTGACGACAATTTCGCTGACGTCACACCTTCTGTGTTCACTGTCTGGCATCACCTGTCCTCGCTTACTGTTCTTTCTTTAATGTACTTTGAACTTTTCCCATCCTCGATTATATATCTCGATCTTATCACGGTCGCTACCTCAGAATTACAAAGTTCTATCTGAAATTTTTGGCTGTAGTGAGTTACTAAGACCATGGAGGTCAGAAACCTGCTCTGTCAAAATCATACCAGTATTCAGAGTGGTTATCAAGATATTCAAAGAATTAAGTTAGAAAAGCTTGACATGTTGTGAAACTCAAAAATGTACGCCAAATTTCTCTGTACTAGGTACTGAGCAAATAGAACGTTGAAATTCTAATTTATCTATCTATCTATCTATCTATCTGTCTATCTATCTGTCTATCTATCTATCTATCTATCTATCTATCTATCTGTCTATCTATCTATCTATATATCTGTCTATCTATCAGTCTATCTATCAATCTATCTATCTATCTATCTATCTATCTATCTATCAATCTATCAATCAATCAATCAATCAATCAATCAATCAATCAATCAATCAATCTATCTATCTATCTATCTATCTATCTATCTATCTATCTATCTATCTATCTATCTACCTACCTAACTATCTATCTATCTATCTATCTATCTATCTAATTTAAAACATGTGCAACTTTATCAAATACTGAGAGATTTAAAACATCTAAACCGTGGCTGGAGAGAAATTGACATGGACTTCCACGTCATGTCGTCAGTTTCAAATGTAAACTAATAACACAGTGCCCTGTTTTCCTAGGCCACCATGTACTGATCTATCTATACCAAAACCAAAACTCGTACCTACTAAAGTGCACCAGCAATTAATCCATCCACACCAAACCTCTTTGATCAATACCTTGATCCAATCTCGTTGATCCATACCATGATCCAATCTCTTTGAACCATACCATGATCCAATCTCTTTGATCCACACCATGAACCAGTCTCTTTGCTCGATACCACAACTTGGAGGTACCGGAGTGGTGCAGGAAACTGACCGGCTAACAGTTTCAGCTTCCGTGAGAACCTATTCCTGCAACAACGCGTTTAGGGTTTTAAACTTATCAACGTATACAGACTCAGTAAGAAATATGGGTTCTTGAAAGTCTTTGGAGAATTTTCTGGAAGGAGAAGGATTTTTAAACGTACATAGACTCAATAAGAAATTTGGTTTAATTAGAATTCTTTGAAGAATGTTTCTAGAAGGAGAAAAGCGTCAAAACTAGCACAGACCCACTATGAAAAGTGGTTTTATTAGATTAGAAGAACAGAACTTTTCTGGAAGAAGAGGCCAATGTTGATGAAGCCGTGCGTACTTGGACTGCTCAATAATAAAAAGAATTGAAGATTAAAGAAGAGACAAGAGATACAGTTTCTGGGGCAATTGAAAAGTGGGGAGAAAATTTGTATCGAGTACATTGGTTTTCCTGCAAGGATATTGTATTCCTCTCAGCCTCACAGGCAAGGTCGGAAACCCGCTCATACATGATCTAAATAAACAAAAGGTAGGCCTAATGGCGTCTGGAAATGTTTTAGAATTAACGTGGCGTCATAGGTATCTCAAGAGATAATAATGATACTACATCTAGATAGCATAATTTATATAGCTCAAATTCCGGCTCAACAGCAAGCTGTATGCGCTGTACAATCTGCATTATTACCCCAGCAGACATGATAGCATTCTGAAACAATCTAAACTTCCTGGGACGCACACAGCGCATACGTGTGGTCGACATTGTGAAAATAGTGAGAGTGTGTAGTGTCTGTTTCTCCAAACTTGAAATAGAACATGTACATTAGTGGCGGGCGGTTCTCGATTACTGCAAACTAGGAATCGTAGGAACGATTCCGAACCCAATTTCTTTCCACTGTTGTGTTTTCTTCCAGGTCTCCATGATTTCTTCCAGTGGTTCCGATCCCTAGACAATTACATGATTACTTCCGGCAAAGTAACAATTACATACGATGAATCCAACAGACCCCCAGTGGGTCGGGGGATATAGATAAACCCACTGCTCCGCCAGCAGGAGGTGCAACCCCTTCACTGGCGATTTGTCGCCCATGGACATCTACGCTCAGGTGCACATGGGCGACACTTGCTTTGGTGTATC